TCAAGTCTTTTAAACCAATTTTTTACAGCAATTTCTTCAATTAATTAGGATAATATCCAAACTTCCTTTAAAAATGTGTTCCCAGGGTCGGCATGATGACCCAGTGGCTAAATCCTTTCCTTGCACACATTAGGATTCCATATGAGCTTTGGTTTGTGTCCTGACTGCTCTACTTCTAATCCATCTTCCTGCTGTGGCTTGGGAAAGCAGTAGAGGACGTCCCAAAATCTTGGAACCCTGCACCTGCTTAGGAGACCTGGAAGAAGTTCCTGGCTCCTGGCTTTGGACTGGCGCAGCTCTGACTGTTGTGGCCACTAGGGGAGTGAATCAGCGGATGGAAGATCTTTCTGTCTCTATCTCCTTCTCTCAGTAGATCTGCCTCTGCAGTAGAAATAAGTACATCTATAAAACAAAATGTGCTTCCAAAAATTATCAAAAGGGGGACAGGGTTTTGTTCTGTTAGCTGGATGACCTGATTCTCTGTAAGTCTGTCTTGGTTTCTTTCAGACCAAGTAATAGTGTGTCCATTTACAAGGCTATGATTAATTTGAATACATGTACTCCAAGCAATCTGTGCTACATCTTCACACAGCAGCAAAGTGCTTAGCAGGGATAACAGGGGAAGGAGAAAACTTTTCTCTTGGGACCATGGTATACTGATGTGCCAAGCCAAAGTTTCAATTTGCAGACCATTCTGCAAAAGAGAATAGAAATTCCTCTCTAAACATTTTAATAAGAATAACACCCCCAAGCCAATATACAACAGAGTGCATTGCTTTCTAGTAATTTCATTTATGCAGCAGCTCCACTACCGTTTATCTCTCCATAGTCAGATAACCCTTGCCTCCAGGGTGACCATAAAACGATATTTTAATAATGCATCCCATCTGTGATCAGAAAGGCTTAATGAAACACTCTCATGATCACATGGCAGCAAGCTTCAAAGAACCGTGAGAATGTTCCACATTAGACAGGACTAGCTTGTTGCTTGTTGAAGCTTTCATCAGCACACTTTTCCAAATTATCTATAAGAAGTCATACCTGGGGGGCAGGGGCAGAGAGATGGGCAACTGGCTAATCCTCTGCCTGCAAGTGCCGGCATCCCACATGAGCACCGGTTCATGTCCTGACTGCTCCACTTTCCATCCTGCTCCCAGCTTATGGCATGGAGTGGGGTGTGGTGGAGTGCATGTAACAGAGGATGACTCAAGTCCTTGGAACCCTGAACCCACTTGGGAGATTCAGAAGTTCCTGGATCCTGGATCCTGGCTTCGGATCGGCATAGCATCAGCCATTGCGCTCACTTGGGGAGTGAATCATCAGACAGAAGATCTTCCTCTCTGTCTCTCCTCCTCTCTATTAAAAAAAAAAAGGAAGAAGAAATCATTCCATATCAGTATTTAAAATCTAGCCTTCTCTTTAGCCCTGAGGTCTTGCCAATTTATGAAAAAGTGCTATCAAGAGGAAGGTAATGGGATATGCAGATGCCAATCCATATATTCTAGTGCTCACATTAAGAAAAGTACAGAGAAGTCAAATTCATTCCAACACACTTTATTTGACATAGTACATCCCCAAAACTACCATTTTAAGGTGGGGCGAATTTGAGAACATTGATGAGAGAGTTTGCATTCCTTCTTCTTGCCAAGCCTTTAAAATCCAAGGTGCATTGTATATTTGCAACACGTCTTGGTTCAGAGAGGCTACACGTGAAAGGCTCAGGAGCCATGCGGGCCCAGCAGCTCCTCTCCTAGGCAGTGTGTGTGCACAGCCTCCTGAAAATGGCCCGTGTGGGCAGGCCACTGGGAGATGAGTAGCTCTTAAAGGTGGTGTCCCTGTGATGGGAGCACAAAGAATCCTGCCTCCCAGCAGTGAGGTCAGAGCCCACCACATGGCTACCTTCACGTCTTCAGCTCCCAGCTTACAACACCATAGAAACACGCTCGGCTGTTTATAAGCCAATGACTGTTCTCTGGTGTCTGTGATGGCAGCACAGACTGAGCTAGAACAATGGGAAAGAAACTGGGGGCGACCATAGCAACCCCTTGCAGAGTTTCTCACTATAGTCAGGTGCTCTCATCAAGGGAACAATCCCATCTTAGCATTAGTGGAGGGGAGGGAGACAGCTCACACATCCCGGCCTCATCTGTCCTTGTGCAGTACTCTGTCCCACACTGGGGCAGAGAAGGGGGCAGCATTAATAGGGTCCCCATCTGCAGGAAGGTGGAGGATGCCCCAGCTTCCTTCCTCATGAAGTGCTCTCTTGGGCAATCACATGCACCAACTCTCTCATGCTGTATACTCCAGGGACATTGTATACTCCCAATGCCCCCACCCACCTGCTCCCTGGGGCTCTTCCAAGACAGAAGACCAGTGTCGGGGAAGAACCCTAGAATAGCCCGCACTGTAGGAGTGCATCTGGGTCCTGGAACATAATTACACTTCTTTTACTAAGACATATTGTGGGGCAGAGGTGAAGGCATTTTACAGTATAATGAAGGTTCTGAAGCTGCTGGCTTTGAGCTCATCAAAAGGGAGCTTGCACAGGGTGGGCCTGGCTTAATCAGGTGGGTCCTCCAAAGGGGGAGTTGGAGTCACCCAAGAAAATACCGACAATATTCTTCCCTTGGCTGTAGAGACAGAAACAGTCACCACCACCATATTGGTGTGCGGAGTCCAGGTACATCTGTTCAGAGGTGTGGCTATCTGAATCTCCCAGCCATGTGGCTGTGACTGGGAGAATTCGCACTGCTTCCTGCTGGGGAGCCTAGCACCCTGTCCACTACTACCAAGCAGTGGTCGAATCCTGGGCTCGTGGGCAGCCAGAGCAACAGTGGAGCCAGGCTTCACCCACTGGCCACCCACCAGCAAGCTCTGGAGTCTTGGGTGTCTGAAGTTACTGCCTAAGGACATCCATGGATAAAGTCACAATACACGTAGGTAAGGAATGAATCCTGAGGGACATTCAACTACAGGGCCACTTGCAAGTAAGCAAGGGGACTGAGACCCAGAGGTTTGGAGTTAAGAGACTGGAAGATATTTTTGGGTCAAACTGATGCACCAGCCCATATGGGAACCCGGAGTTGGGCTTGTTTGCATGGAACATTACTGACCACTACATGCCAGTCCACATGAAAACTAGGGCTGGGGGACTAGGACTAGATCCTAGTAACCAACTGACACTAACTAGCATGAGAGCACCAGGTCTGGGGGTAGATTCTGTGGGGATTTGTGCACCCAACCCTGTGGAAATACAAGTCCCGCTGGTCAGTTCAAGAGTTGGGGTGGTAATGGGCTGAGTTAAGTGTGACCATGGAACCTGCCAACACTCACGGGTACTGGGGCTGAGATTAGGCTGGGCAGGTCCAAGCTGCAGCACCTGCATGTGTACCCTAAATCAGGGTGTGGAGTGGGCCAGGCCACAACATTCATCAGCTCATAGTAGGCCAAGATGGAGAAGCAGGTTATGCCGGGCAAGGGCCTAACACCTGCTGGCATATGTGAGATCTGGGTCTTGGAATGGGCCAAGTGGAGGAACTTGGGAAACTCCCCTAGTGGGTCATAGCTCCTGCCGGTGAGCACATGGTCCAGGCCTGCGAGTTGGGCAGGCTCTGCAAGGTAGCTCTAACTGTTGGCTAATGTGGGGTTAGTTTTGGAAGGGGGCAGACTGGGCAGGGCCAAGCCAATCTTAACTCACCTGCAAGTAAAGAAACCAGGATGGAGCACAGGTCATGCTAGCTAGGCTGTCACACCTACTGGTTTGCATGAACCAGGGATGGGAGCAGACTGAGCAGGGCCAGGTTTCAGCACCTGCCAATAAGAGTTAAAACTGGGGCAGACCAGGTCAGGTCAAGCTACACCATCCTAAGGCAAAGGCCAAGACAGTGGAGGGACTATGCTAAGCTGGGTCAGAGCAACCATTGGCACACATGCAAGATCTATGGCTGGGAACAGGCTTGGTTAGGGAGCAAAGGGGATCCCCTGGCTGGGTTGTAGTTCTTACCGGTGAATGTGAAGGTCAGAGTGGGGGCTGCTGTCTAGTCTGGACAGTGTCCCTTGGCACAAGTGTGGACTGGATCTGAGATGTGCCAAACTGGGCTAGACTGCAGCATCCATTGCACACTGGAGAACCAGTGTGGGTGCAGGAAAGGCTAGGTTAGGTTAGGTTTCTGCCCCTGCTGAGCCTCCCTCAGCCTGGGATGCCCCGCCTTCAGAAATGCAAGACACAGATATCTGCTCTCTCTGAAGGGCCCAGTCTGGGGGGTTCTGTTACAGTATCCCAAGGCAGACAAAGACAGGGCCTTTCCCCTGAACTGCGGGGAGCATGTTGTTCTGAACTCAGACCATGCCAGGCGCCACATTCCAGCAGCTTCTGGGAGCACTGGGAGGAGGTGGCTCACGGGCGGGGCTGTGATATTGGGCCAAATATAAACACTGCTTTGCTGCTGGGCCAAAGAACCATTGGGGCAGGATGGTTCCACTATAACTTCAGTCCAACGTATCTCACCCCAGAAAAGCTGACTTTTCTCCCTTGGGTGTCCCAGATTTGTGGCCAGCTTCCACCAACATCTCAATTCTGCTCTTTGTACCAAGTAACACCAAGTCTGAAGGTCATTAAGCCACCTCGGACCTGTCCACAATCTGGAAATGGCTCCACACACATAGATGTGGCAACCAGAGAGTCACTAGCCCCTCCGTTCATGTGGACGTGTGTTCAGACAACATTTGGATCTCGTACTGGGCTCCCACAGGGAAATACAACAGACCCTAAACCACATGACACCTTCAGTGTGTGACAGGATCTTAGCATGCAAAGATGTCACCTAATCCTTGGAGAGTGTGTGCGGGAAGGCGGGATGCAGGGTCAGGAATAGATACCCAAGGAAGTCCATCTGTCCAGCAAGAATGGTGGCCTCTTTATTTATCAGCATTTAGGTTGAAGAAGACAAATGAATTGTATACGTGTATGAAAAATAAAAAAAACACCCAGCAGCCTGAGAGAAGTCCCAGTATTTTATTTCCAGAAACCATGGTTCAGGTCACAAAACACCCTCGGTGAGCAGAAGTTGAGAGCTACATAAAAGAGATCTGCATAACAAAACTAGGGCCATTGCCAAGTTCAAGGGGGTAGGGGCGGGGCTGACACTAAATCGATTTCTTCTGGGAAAGGGAAGGTTAAGTGGAGCTGCGAGGGCCAGAGGGTCCTGAGATTTACAGCTGCCCTAGGAGGGGCGGATGCCTTCAAAGCACTGCATGCTGATGACTCCTAGGCATCGATCAGACGAGCGCACTGGCCCGTGCTCCGCAGTCAGGGGATGAGAAGCAGAGGGGAGATGGTGGTGGTGATCGTCTTGATGTAGTTTTCAAAGTCACTTCCGAACAGGAGGATGAGGTAATGGTTGAGGATGCCAGCCAGGGACATGAGGAACAGGAACAGGATGATGCGTTTCCCAAATATGTAGCCAGGGGTGCTGGGAAAGAAGGAAAGAGAGTCCAGTGATGTGACACAGGCGACACCAACCTCCTCCCCCCTCCACACACACACAGCATCGTCCCCAGAGAACAGGGGCTCCAAGGTCGGCCCTTACTCCGCAGTGCTTGTCTGCTGCCTCGGAGGGTGAAGGTGCCCCAGGCGTTCAGAGGCAGCTCAGAGTCCAGATCTCTGGCCCATCCTCGGACAGCCCTGATGTGCAGGCTTCTCCATGCCCTCCAGACTTCCTTACCTCCAGCTCTCCGTGGCCTGGAGATGACGGGCATTGTGGCTTGCCATTGGAAAGACTCCTTAATCTAACAGCTGCCCCTCTCCAGGGGTGTCTGTAAGCGCCGCCCACCCCCACCCCCGCCAGTGGATGTGGAATGCAGAACTACCTTCAAGGCCATGGTATGAAGGAGTTGGTAAACCTGATGGAATCTAAATGGGACTTTAGCATCTGGGGGTAAAATCTCTTTTAAGTAACCCACGGTCTTATTAAGAGCAAGGCACCCAGTTTTAGGCAAGTGTTGGATGACAGGACCCTCCTTATTTATGGAGTAGGGAGGAGTGAAGGACTTTATTTTCTATCCAGGGCCATCTGGATATTTAGAACATCATTTGTGGACCATACAAAATAATCCACTGACATAGCCTACAGTGACTAAATTCTGAGTCCCACCTGGCCCTTCTACAATTTGCAGGCCACACATTCTCACCCCTGCCAGAGGCAGAGAGCCAGTTAGAAACACAGAGTGAGATCTCCCATTTTTTGATTCACTCCCCCAAATGCCTACAATAGCCAGGTCTGAGCTGTCACTGTAGCCAGAAACCAGGCACTCAATCTAGGGTGGCAGGGATCCAACAACTGGGCCATCTCCACTGCCTTCCAGGGTCCGCGCCAGCAAGAAGCTACAACTGGAGGTAGAGCGAGAATCAAACGGAGGCACTCTCAGATGTGAAGGGGGCATCTTAACGGGTATTTTAAAGATGCGCTTCAGGACCTTACATTTTGTATGCCTCCATTTTTCTCACGCCTTCTCTCTCACATGCACTCTCTCTTGCACACACAATCTCTCTCCCTCTCTCTCTCTGGCAGTAAGTCCTAAGCTGCTAGGTAGACCATCAGTGGCATGGGAGGCACCTGCCCTGTGGGATGGGGGCTGTCTGACTGCCGGCACAGGCAGCCTGGCTTCTGCCCTCCGTCTACAAGATTCTGTCCTGACACTACGCCTAGGGACATCTTGCAGGCCTGCAGAGTTAGATAACTGCAAGTTGTCCACAAGCACTGTGGCAAGGACATCACTGGACAGTCAGAACAGCCTGCTCAGCCAGGCAGCTCGGTGGACGCTTGAGGTTGGACAGAGGCAGCAGACTTTGTTCTGCATGGGTTTCATATTGGGGATGTTAGCTGTTTAAAGGGAACCCCACAGATTCATAACCTAAAGCATGATTTCCCTACAGCAAATGCTTTGAAGTCTCCAGGCAGTCCGCTGTCCACTTCCTGGCTACTCAAAGTGTGGTCCATGGCCCAGCAGGCACAGCTGGGAGCTAATTTGAAACAGGCAGTCTCAGGTTCCTCTCAAAGCTGGTGGATCAAAATCTGCATCTGGACACATGCCCCAAGGGACACACAGACTTGGGAGAGGCGCTGTTAGCAGTTTGCAATCTCTGCCCCTGGCCAGCTCCATTCTGTTCACAGCGCTAATCAGAAAGGGAGACTTTCTGTCTCCTCATCAAAGAACAGAACTGGTCCCCCAGCCGAGTGTCATGACCTGAATTGTGTCCCCTATCAAAACCCCTGAGTGGAATCCCTAGCCACAAGACCTCAGAACAGGGTCCTATTCAGAGACGGGGCTCTTGGTTTTTTCTATTAATTTATTTCTAATCAAAGAGTAACAACTTTGTACATTTATGGGATGCAATAGTATGTTTTGATGTAATAGGATACAACAGAATGTTTGATCTGCATATATATATATGTATGAAAAAGTTAATCAAGTGAATTAACATGTTCATCTCTCCACTAACTTATTTTCTAGTGGAAGAAGACATTAAAGATGTAATCTCTCAGCCATGTTGAAATAGATCACACATCATTATTAAGTGGGGCCATCACATGTTGTGGTAGATCACTGAAACTGATTCCTCTAGTCTAACTTTGGATCCTGGGATCAACAATTCCACTTTCCTTGCCCTTCCTTGGGGTAGTAGGTTTAATCCTAGAGTCGGCCATGATCCAATAAGAGGCCCTGTAAGAGGACGTGGAAAGGTGCCCAAGGCAGGAAGGTGACACCTGCAAGCCAAAGCCAGTGGCCTGAACAGCAACCAGCTGCCAGCACCTTCAGTTTGGTCGGCATTGCATTTCTGCTACTAAAGCTGTGGAGTCTGTGGTTGTGACAGCTCTAGCAGAACAACAGTCACATACAGGTGCTGTGAGGAAAGCTCAGGTTGGGGATGTTTTTTAGTTGGCCAATGGAGGACTCATTAGGTTAGACTGTGAACAATCAACTCTTGTGCTATCCCAGATAAGCCACTGTGTGCTTATTTCAGAAACAAGAACAAGAGTTCTGCAAAGTTGTTCTAAGCGTGGTGATGAAGGAAGTGACTGTGCCTGGAGTGCGCAGGAACTTAGGAAGGATTCCTCAAAGTCAGCTAGGACCGCGGTCCTTTAACTCCTGGAGACACAGATCAAGAGGCAAGCATATGATTTGCTGCTTCCTCCTCCACAGCCCTAAGGGTAACCGTGACTCCCGAGGTGGGCCTCTCATTGGGTGCCTCTTACAGTTTCTCCAGCTGGGAGATGGGGCTGCAGTGTGGGAGGTGTGTGCAGAGGAAGCACCAGCCCCCCGCCCAAACAAAGCCATGGGGAAGCTAAAATGAGGCAGAATGCAGAAGGAAGAGCAGAGGCCTACAGGGCCCACAAACAGGATTCTCAGCCCCTGAATGAGACAGACATCTCCCTGTTGTTTCCAAAAGTTGATGCATACTTCTCTCTCAGAATTCAGTAATTAAGCATCTGCCGGAGCAGAGCGAGGCATTGCCTGTCCGTGACTTTGCTAACTTTTCACCACCACTGTGTGAGGTCACATTATCAGTCTAGTTTCTGACTGAGGAAGCTAAGAGCAGAGCGGTTGAGTGATGGGCCTGCGGTCACACAGGCAGGGAGAGGCAGAGGGAACTCAAACCTTCAGACTGGCATAAAACTGGCATGCACACATGAGAGGCCAGTACTGGGGCACAGGCGGTAAAGCTGCCACTTGTAACACTGACATCCCATATACGAGGGCAGGTTCGAATCCTGGTTTCTCTGCTGCTGATCTTCCTCTTGTAAATGCACCTAGGAAGGTGGTAGCAAAGAATCCAGACACTTGGGCCCTTACTCCGCTAGTGGGAGACCTGGATAGAGTTTGGCTCTTGGCTTTCCAACTGGCCAGCCCTGCCTTTTGGGGGGCATTTAGGGATTGAACAGGTGAATAGAAAATCTCTCTTGCCCTCTCTTTCACTCCTTCTCCCTCTTTGTCACAATGTCTTTCAATTAAGTAAATCTTTGAAGGACAATAAAAGAAAACATAAAAGGTACTTTGCTAACCAAGCCCCCTCTCCCAGTGCTGAAAACATCAGGCACATGGTGCTATGGTGTGGCAGGAGGCGACTGCCAACGCCAGAGACCTGTGTCCCAGCCTCATTCCAGCCAGCCTGTCACCAACCTGCCCTCCCTCAACAGCACCACCTCCCAGCCTGGCCGTTAATGGGCACAAAACACAAAACAGCAGCAGGAAATTTGACAGTCCTTTTGGTTTTAAAATGATTTCCATTTCAATAGAGAAATGTCGCTTTAGATCCGATAACTTCAGAAGGAAAGAAGAATTGCAAGTTCTGTGAGAGCAGGATGTGGCCTCCACTCGGCAGCCGTGTCTTTCCAATAAATCAAGTGATCCATCAATACTGGTCAAAGGGGTGACTTGTTTTCGGGAAAGAGGCCTGGGGGCAGGATTTGGCCTCGCGTTAGGATGCCCATGTCACATCGGAGTACCTGGGTTCCAATCCTAGCTCCAGCAACTGGATCCCTGCCACCCACATGGGAGACCTAGGTTGAGTTCCCAGCTCCCATTTCCAGATTGGCCTAACCCTGGCTGGGGGGATCTGGAGAGTATACCAGGGAATGGGAGCTCTCTCTGTCTCTAGCTCTGCCTCTCAAGTAGTAAAAATGAAGACAAGAGTAGGAAACTCTTCAGTGATTCACAAGCTCCAGGAAACCTATGAAATACCTGAAGATAGCATTGACATGCAGGGGAGTGGTGAAAGTTCAAGGTGAGGATCAGGGATCAATGCTTGAGGAGCACTCTAGCCAATTCTGGGTACAGTTGTTGGGCAGCTATCATGAGAAACTCAGGTCTTGATAACCACCATATGTACCCCCAGGCTTCTGGGAGAAGCCACTTGGTGGTCACACTCTGGTGAGAAACACCAAGGTCCAACCTTGGAGGGACCCAGAGATTCTGAATTACTGACTCTAAGAAGAAATGCCTGTGGGGGATCACTCTTGTACCTTCAGAAAGGGAGGTTTTGGGGACAACCACAATGGTTCAACTGGCTAATCTTCTGCCTGCAAGTGCCAAGATCCCATATTGGCACCAGTCCTGGCTGCTCTACTTCCCACCCAGCTCCTTGCTTGTGGCCTGGGAAGGCAGTAGAGGATGACCCAAGTTCTTGGGACCCTGCACATATGGGGAATACCCGGAAGAAGCTCCTGATTTTGGATTGACTCAGCTCTGGCCATTATAACCATTTGGGGAGTGAACCAGTAGATGGAGGATCTTTCTTTTTGTCTCACCTTCTTTCTATGAACCTGCCTTTCAAGTGAAAGTAAATAATTCTTAAAGAAGGAAAGAAAGAAAGAAGAGACTAATGTCACAGGAAGTTGAACAAGCCCTGGTTAATTCAAGTGGACAATGAATGGTCACTGCATGGATGTGCAGTGAATAAGGAGCAAATGAGTATCCAAGGAGCAAATGGAGTTGGGTAACTTGGGCTCATCAGCCTCAGGGGACACCAATGGCTGTGTGTGAATCTGTCCCCAAATTTCGTAGTGTAAACTTAATTCATCGGTGGGGGTCTTTGGGAGATGACTAAGTCACAAGGGTGGAGGCATTCTGAATGGAATTCGTGAGCTCACAGAAGAGACTGAAGCCCTTTCTGTTGTTCTGGCTTTTGTTCCATGAGGATGCAGTAACCGAGCACCATCTTGGATACAGAAAGCAGCCCTCACTAGACAATTTCAGCACCACTCTGATCTTGGAAGTTGCAGCTTTAAGAACTGTGGGAAATACCTTTATGCTGTTGACAGGTTACTCAATTTTGGCATTTTGTTATAGTGGCAAGAAAAACTGAGACACCCATTCATTACCCAGCCACCATGAAGCTGAAAACATCAAAATGTTAAGAGGACTTAAAGTGGAAACTTCCACGGGGGACAGAGTTCTGAGAAACAGTAAGAAGGAGCAGCTGGGGGAAGGCAGATGAGAAAAGGCAAATAGTGTGGTACAACTGTGCCAGTTGCCCTGAGTTAGTTCCATGTGGTGGCTCAGAATGAAATGGAAGAAATCGGGATTCAGCCTCAACTGCTATGTAGTAACTATGCAACACATGAACAGGACAGAGAGGAGAGGGTCAGGGATCAGGACAAGGGATGGAGAACTGAAGAAAGGCAGCCTGAAGCCTGAAGCAAGCCACTTTCTCGGGGGCAGGGAGTTTGGTGAGGTCTCATCCACCCATCACACCAAAAATGACACTGGAGATTTTAAATTGGATAGGGCCAAAGCAGCTTCAGGAAAAGGAGCAGAGGTGATCCACAGCCTGAGAGAGAAATTCTGCAGGAAGGCTTTTTATGAGCCGACCTTACCTGCGCTGGTGAGGTTACAGACAAAAGTAGGTCCCAAGGGCACCAAAGTGTCAAGTACTTGCAAAGCCCAAGAAAGACACAGTCCAGGGACACGGAGAATCTGGGATAGGAGATGCACCTGCCTGAGGCGGATATTACTTCTAGCTGGCAGAATTGAAAACCACTTTGCATATAACCATGACATCCCCTGAGTTGGCAACCTCGGGCTGAATTTGGTCTACAAATTCATTTCTATTGAAACTAAATATCATTTCTATTGAAACTATTCAGAATTCTGTTAAGGAGTCTATAAGGGGCTGGAGCTATGTCATAGTAGGCTAAGCTTCCACCTGCAGTGCCAGCATCTCATTTGGGCACTGGCTCATGTCCCAGCTGCTCCACTTCTGATCCAGCTCCCTGTTCATGCACATGGGAAAACAATGGAGAATTGCCCAGGTCCTTGAACCCCTGCACCCATGTAGGAGACCTGGAAGAAGCTCCTATCTTCAGATTGGCTCAGCTGTAGCCACTGCGACCATTGGGGAGTGAACCAGCAGATGGAAGATGGCTCTCTCTCTCCCTCCTTCTCTCTGTAAAAATATGTCTTTCAAACAAAAACAAAATAAATCTTATATAAAAAGAAGGATTCTCTGAACATGTTTCTCTCAGTAAGAATAAGTTCCTTGATTCATCAATAATGCCTACGGAGCATTATTGGGAGGGAAGAAAGGTCTAGAATTTGCACATGTCATGAGTTAAGAGCCAGTGAGAATCTTCTTAGTAGCTTCTAATGGGAGATGAGGGTGGGCCTTAGGTCAGGTCAATGAGGCCCAGAGGAATCTAATGATTTTAAGATTTCTTTTAAGTCTGTATCCTATCCTATTGTACATTTGTTACTTTTTTTCATTCCCCAAAATCTTTAAAAGGGCCTCTGGGTAGGTGGGCGAATTTTATGATGGTCAGCAGCTCTCAGAATTAAAGCCATGGCAGGATTTCATGCTGGTGGTAACAGGTTAAGAAGAGTCCAATCTTGGGACTTGGGGCAGGTACAGAAATGGCTGCAGCACACGGAGCCAGTTCAATGCCAGACACCTCACCCCCTCCCTTCTCTCTTCACAAAAGCTCATCAGGGCGAAGGAGAAGAGACAGAATCATTTCGGACAATATGGATGGGAATACGAGAGAGAGAAAGAGAGATTCCATTTTAGACAATAGATAAGAACACTCCTGGAGAAGAAAGACTGGCAGTAGGGAAGGAATCACTGTGCTAGCAGTCATTTTTACCTACGGCAGCCCGGCTCACCATCAACTTCCTCAAGACCCTGAACTTCACAGGCACCCAGCTTTCATCTGCCAACCTCCTGAGGAAGCCACTTGCCTTTGTGGCTGTTGAAGGAGGCTGTCTACCTGAAGAATCTGTTAGCCACTAGAGAAGCATGTAATTGTAAAAAGACAGAGTGGGAAATGAACAGAGACCAGGAAGGAAAATGCCAGGGAAGGCTGGGGCTGGCACATGAGATGGAAGCCTCCCAGAATGTATTTCTGGCTCTTGAAGCTTTCCTGGCCCATATGGCATTCCAGTCTCTAAGGAAACAGCAGAACACCAGGTCTCAAGCGGATCTTCTGTAAGTAGCATTGTTTATTTTATTGCAATCCATGTTCCCCAGCAGCACAGGGCTGCTATGGAGTTTTCTCTTTGGTTCCTCTATGAGAAACACTATAGTGGCTCTAGTCATGGTCTCACTGTCTTGCAATGCACTTTATGTTCCCAGCATTCTCTCTGGAACAGGCATTTGACACATAGGCTGAAAACACCACTTGGGACACCAGCATCCCACAGAAAAGTGCCTGGGAATTGAGTCCCAGCTCTGCTCCCAACTTCAGCTTCCTACTGGTGCATGCCTTGAGAGGATGGATCAGGTACTTGGGCCCCTGCCACCGCTAGGGGAGACATAGCTCCCAGTTCCCAGCTTCAGCCTGGTCCACTGCTGGCTGTTATAGGCACCGAGGGGAGAGAGTGAAAGTTGAAACAATGAATGAGATCTCTCTCTTTTCAACTCCTTCTAAGCCCTTTTTAAATAAGCCTCTTTTTTGTTTTCAATCTCCCTGCAGATTCTTTGAAAAGTTTTTCTCAAAAAAGTCACAAGGTGCAGTCTTCAGTTCTTCTTTCTCCAAACAGCCAAATGCTTCACTCACCAGAGGCTGGGGCCCTTGGCATAAAATGTCATTCCAGACCTAGACTAGGTTTGGGGTTTAGAGGTGCAGAAATGGGCAGTGGCAGCCTGAAGAACCCTTTGCCAGTCCAGTGCTAGACAGAGAACTGTGTTATTGGGAAAACTAGACAAGTCTCTAGCTGTATTTTTAGAACTCTATGTTCAAGACAGGATGAGGGATCCCGGTCAGCCACCCAACACCAGAGGTGCTTATCTCAATGTCAGTTGAGTTATCTGTCATTCTTCTGGCTGGGAGAGCACAAATCACTCCCGGAGTTCATCCCCAGCCCCATCCATGCCTACCTCTGAGTCCTCTCTCCCAGGTAGCCGACAAAGTACTTCTGCCTCACGAACAAGTACATCAGCCCAGCAAAAGCAGCCGGAACTAAATGGAGAAATGAAAATATCTGTGTCAGATTAAGAGCCACCAAAGCATGCTAACTCAGCACCTTATGAGAACATGCAATCAACACTGGTCACAAAACGCAGCTGAGGCCACAGGTTCTGATGCAGAGGCTGACGTGCATGGCAGAAAAAGCCCTCAGGTTGCAAGAAACCTGAGAACTTTAATAATGATGACATTACTGTATGCCTGCCCCAGGGTGCAGCTTAGATAATTCTTACATGTCCATCACCTAGCAGGCATCTTCTCAACATCATCAGCATTTCCACTTCCAGATGTGTAAACTTGGGTCCAGATGTCCACAGGTGCTTGTGGATGGGTCAGGTGATGAGGAGGGACACAGGGAGGCAGAGCTCAAACCCCGAGCTCAGCTCTGAAGCTGGCTCTCTGCAGAGCATTCCTCTCACCTGGGGCCGCCACAAGCAGCTGAAGAACTTCTACTCTGTAGAGAAGTCACTGGGGAGGAGAGATCCCTGGTGTTCCAGCCCTTAGGGAAACAGCCTTGAGCAGCACCCCACAACCCAATGGAGGCCTGCCCTGGGAGCTGGAAAATCCAGGTGGAATTGGATTGGTGTTATCAGGAACTATCTGCATCTGGATCTATGGCCTGATTGTGGCTTTCTGACCTGTTAGGGGTTAGCAGAAGAACTGAATCAGGCCATCCATACAAGGGCAATTTGAAACATCCAAGAATTATCCTAATATAAAATAAGCTGTCTTGATGAGCAATGTTTAAATGCCAGTCACATCCTTTTCCACAGGTACTCTGAGTACTTGGGTCTCCAATCCTTTCTGACACCAGCTAAAGTACACATTATTGTCACCATTTGACAAAGGTTTCAAACTGAGGCTTGGCCTGAGAGTTGTAGAACAGCTGTCTTTTCCTGGATCATCTCTGGGCCTGGCATCACGCCTGGCACTTTCTGCCTTCCAAACAGTAATTGTCAAATGGCAAAGAGTCAAGTGGCCAAAGGAGACACTGAGATTTGAGAATAGGTCTTTCTGGTCTCAAAACTTTACCACTGCCACTAGCCCCATCATTATGAGCACGTGCTGAGCTTTGATTGTCAGATTGAACCACAAGCACGTGCCATTTCTGGGGGTCACAAACAGCCAAATCCTGGCAGTTTTTAGTACTCAATCTACTGCTCACCAACATTGCATTCATGGCTCTGCGTTATCTCACTTGCTCGTCATAGGAATATGGCTGGGTGGACAGGGATTTTGTTTCATAACAAGGAAACTCAGGCTTAGTGAGCTGCCTGTGTTACACCCCAACAATGAACATCCTTACACTTGCCTCCAGTTTGTCACTCCACAACTTGCAGTTCTTGCCACAAACTCGCCTGCTTTCTAAAACACCATTACTATGCAGAGGGCAAGTGAATCAAGCCAAAAATAAATAAATAAATAACACTACGAAACTCATCCTGCTTTCAAGATCACCAAGACTTTGATAATCTGCCTTGGACAAAGTTTTGCCTGACTTTCCCATCTGAGTGGCTCATTTCTCTGACAATGCGTATCCAACTGAACATTGATCAGGCAAAAAGCGGTTGCACGCATGGCCTTTCTGCAGGCAATAGTGAGGGCTTCACAAGGGGACCGGGGCTGCAGGGAAGTAGAAATCTGAGCTCCCGCATGCTGGAGCTTGAGCAACACACTCATCCCTGGGAGCTTGGGTTCCTACTTTGTAAAATGAGGGTTTGGGGGCCAGGCACAATAGCCTAGTGGCTAAAGTCCTAGCCCTCCATGTGCCAGGATCCCACATCAGCACCAGTTCATGTCTTGGCTACTCCACTTCCCATCCAGTTCCCTGCTTGTAGCTTGGGAAGACAGTGGAAGATGGCCCAAAGCCTTGGGACCCTGCACCTGCATGGGAGACCCGGAGGAGGCTCCTGGCTCCTAGCTTCGGATCAGCTCAGCTCTGGCTGTTATGGCCACTTGGGGAGTGAATCATCAGAAATCAACTCTGGGAGTTGGTCCATCCTTCCAACTTGCTGATGTCAAGAGTCTGAGCCGCTGATAACATGGGATATGCTGGGGACCCAGAATCCAGCCTGTGGTGTCATAGACACGAGTCTAAAGGAGCGTCACCAGGCTGGAAACTTATTAGCACAAAAGCCAAGTGACAGCAGTCCTGGAAATAGATCCCACTGGCACTCTCCTTTAGAATGCCCTTGCATCCCAGCTCACACTGCTTAAGGATTCTGAGTCACATTCAGCCTTAAACCACCCTTGTCAGCACAGTAGCTCTCAGCCAACCACCAGGGAGCAAACATTAGCAATGCATTAGCACACCGTTCTGCACAGGCACAGAGCGTGCCCGGAACACAACATTCTGAGGGCTCTCCTCTCTCCTGGGTTTGGCAGACCTCAGCTGGAGGTCAGGCAATGTCTTTGCAACGAAATGTCTGCCCTTTGAACCTCTGCAAAATGCACATGCCAGAAAGAGCACACACAATGAGACCGTGGACTTACCTTGACTGCACAGTAGCCCCGCACTCCAGAGCACCACCAGGAAGGTAGGATAGGCATCAACGCAGTTTTGGCTGGGGTTAAATCAATAGGAAGGAAACCATCAGAAAACCTCCCTGCTGCAATGTGCTCTGAGAATTCCTCTAAATGTCAAGTCAGTGGTCATCATCATACAAGAGGTGCAGACCCCAGGCGTAACCCCACTTCCACCTACCTGCCCAGCAAGGTGCGGCTGCCACACAGGGAACAAGCAATGGTGGAAAGCAAACAGGTGCTCAGAAGCCATTTGCTCTGTTCCTACAGTGGAGCTGAGCAGAGCCTTCTTTGCTTGACACAATCACTCCAGCAGGTTTCCTGTTCCTTAGCAGTGCTGACTCATTTCTTGGAATTGAAAAATGAGCAGTGCAGACAGTAGGGTGTGGTTTAGTCTCCTGCAGGAGCAGGGTCCAGCTAAGGAAACCTTGAGGTCAGACATATATCAGCCCCAAGCTGCAGGCCAGGCTCTACCAGGAAGCATAAGTGATTTGAAGCAAGGGTCAGGGAGGTAGATGTTTGGAGCAATAGTTAATATAAAAATGAGATGCCTGCAGTCATGCCACGTAGCAGTAATTGTGTCAAGTTCCAGCTCCCCTTTTAATTCTGGCTTCTTTCTGATGCACACCCACAGGGAAGGAGCAGGTGACGGCACAACTACTTGGGTCCCGTCACCCACATGGGATACTCAGAGTAAGCTCCAAGCTCTTGGCTTTGTTCTGGCCAAACCCCAGTGTTGCTGTGTGTATTTGCAGACTGATCAGTGGATGGAAGTTAGTTTCTTTCTCTCTCTTTCTCTCTCTCTCTCTCTCTCTCTCTCTCTCTCTCTCTTAAATAAGATTAAATACATACAGAGCCCAAACTCTTGGGTCATCCTTCTCTGCTGGGTTGAAAATGAAACAGCTGGACACCAATCCATCACTGTGATACAGGGTGCAGGTATTACAAGTGGTAACTTCCTGCTATACCACAATGCCCACCTCCTCCACCCTCACATTTCCTTTAAATTCACTATATTCTTGCATGGACACAAAATGCTTACATGAGTTTCCTTCTGCTCCTGTAAAAGCTGGCCACAATACTCTGGCTTTAGCACAATATAGATTTACCATATCTTGGGTTTGGAGATCAGAAGTCTGAGGTGGGTTTCACTGGACAAGCCTCAAGGTGGCAGCAGGGCTGTGCTCCATCTTGGGACTCCAGTAGGAGATGTCATTCTCCTGCCCCTCCAACTTCTTTACATCACCCACGTTCCTGCGCTTGTGGCCCTCTCCAATGTCAAAAGCAACAATGGTCATTCCAGTCTTTCCTCTGTGGAGTAACTCTTCCCATCCACTCTTCTTTCTCCTTATACATTTCAAAGACCTCTGTGGCTACATGAGATCCTGTTCAGACAATCCAGAATTATCTATTTTAAGGTTGTGTGGTTAGCAACCAGAAATCTTCCTTGCCTTGCAGCATAACATATTCATAGGCTTCTAGGATTAGGATCTGGGTATGTGTAGAGGACTGTCTCTGACAACTAAGTACTGGGTGTTCTCCTGAGGAGTTGACAGTGCAGGAGAAAATGACAAGCATGCACATCCATTGAAAGGAACCTAAGGGGCTGGATCATTGGCTCAACCGGCTAGTCCTTCATCTCCAAGCACAGTATGCCATAGGGGTGCTGGTTTGTGTTTCAGCTACTCCACTTCCCATCCAGCTCCCTGCTTGTGAGAGGGAAAGCAGCAGAGGACAGCCCAAAGCCTTAGTCTGCTGCACCCATATGAGGGACTCAGAAGAGGTTCCTGGATCTTGGCTTCAGATCGGCTCAGCTCTGGCTATTGTGGTCACCTGATGGAAGAGTGAACCAGCAGATGGAAGATCTTTGTCTCTGTCTCTCCTTCTCTCTGTAAATATGACTTTCCAATAAAAATAAGTAACTCTTTTTAGAAATCTGAAAAGAAAGTAGGACCGAGAGAAGATGGCCGACGTAGGAGGAAGGCTGTGAGAGAGCGTCCAGTGAAAGAGGGATAGAAAGTTACAGAAGCAGCAAAGTGGAACAGCAGGGAATCGCAGGGAGAGGTCCGTGAGGCTCCCTGGGACAGTGTGGAGCCAAAAAGATCCACACAACTCGGAAGAACAGCGAGAACGGAGCAGGGCAAAGGTAGAGAAACCGACATCCCACTCCAGACCTGCTGAGTCACTTTTGAAAGCGGCCTGACGGGAGACGCGGACAGCCCGGAGGCGGGGAGATCGGGCGGACCGTCGCCGGCGGGAGGCGGAGGCAGACTGCAGCGGCCGGACGTTTGGTGAGCCGGGGGGTTGACGTGGTAGCCTCCGCATTCCTTGACCCCCTACTGAGGGTCCAGCCTCTGAGAACGCGGGGCAGAGAGACTGAAGCTGTCGGGTTTATGCCTTGGGAACTACGCACAGTGGTGTTGGTGGCTGAGGGGGCACCAGGAAGGCGCCTCGGATGTTCCTACACTGAGAGGGCCAGTGCGTCTCAGTGCGCAGAGGCTGCTGGTGAGGATCTGGAGTCCTCCACATCCTGCCTGGTGGAAGCGCGTTAACATCGGGAAGACCCTGGTCGCTGCGCCGAGCGGACTAGGCAGCCCCGCCTGCAGCAGCCGAGCGGATTAGGCGGCCCCGCCTGCAGCAGCCGAGCGGATTAGGCGGCCCCGCCTGCAGCAGCCGAGCGGACTAGGCGGCCCCGCCTGCAGCAGCCGCCTCCACAGCGCAGGTGTCAGATGTCAGGAGAGCTTTGAGACTTGGGAAGTGTAGCGCTGTGTGTCCCCGACACGCAGGTACCACTCCCATAGGGTGAACTGCTCACCCCTCGCCTCCCACCCCACAGTTCTGAGCGTGGGCGACCCACCAGGAGAGCTCTGAAAACTCCTGCATCACACTGACACGGTGCGAACCTGCCGTGAAATAATAACAGGGCGCCTGGGCCACTCCCCCGCTAAGGGCCGGTGTGAGAGAGCCACACAGGAGCAGGGGCTCTGAACACCCACACACCACGAGTGGTGGATTCACTGCACAAGAGCCACGCCTGGAAAGTGCCTCACCCACAGTCCCGTGTGTGGGAGACGCACCAGGTGGGCTCTGAAAAACCTTGCAGTCCCTGACACGGAGAACGCAGGGAGAAAGCACATAAAACCTTCTAAGTCCTGTGGATTCCCGTGCAGGGGGCACACCCAGAGAGCGCCTCCATCCCTCCACGCCCTGGGGTGTCACACCTGTTGAAGAGGTGCCCAGAGTGTGCCTGGAATCCACTGGGCCCCCAAGGTGGTGCTCTTCAGCCCCGGGCCCTGAGAACGCACCAACGGTGCCTTGAAAATTACCACGCCCGGCAACACCACGCCTGCAGGCTCCAATCTCTACAGGAAAGCACCTGACAGCCCCTCAACACACGGGTTCATTTGCCCCACCAGAATACACCAACGCAATGGGAAAAACCACCAGAAAGAGCTCTGCTCCAGATGAAAGAGCCAGCACCCCACCAAACATGGGCCAAAAGCCATTATCAATATCGGCGATGCGAGATGAAGACATGGACGTGTTACCAGCAAAGGAATTGATGAAAATAATGCTAAAATTTCTCAGAGACGTGGACACAAAGCTGGAAGACTACCAGAACCGCATAATCACCGAAATACAACAAATCAAAACCAAACTGGATGCCCAAGAGAATAAGATTGAAAGCCTCATCAACAGAATAAATGCGGCAGAGGAAAGGATCTCTGAAACAGAAGACACACAAAATGAAAGTGCCCAGCGAATTAAACAGCTGGAGACAAACCTCAGCAAAACTAATAAAATGATGCAAGAGATGAAGGATTACCTTAGAAAACTGAATATTCGGATCATCGGCCTCCCTGAGGGAGTAGAAAGAGAATCTGGGATGCAAGCAGTGCTTGATGAAATTATACAGGAAAACTTCCAAAACACTTGGAACACGAATCCACCCCGCATACAGGATGGACAGAGAACTCCCAACAGACATGATCCAAAGAGATCCTCACCCAGACACACGGTGCTCAGGTTCTACTCCAATGAAGACAAAGAAGGAATCCTGAGACAAGCACGAAGTAGAGAAAAGATCACATACAGGGGAAAACCCATCAGAATCACTGCTGACTTCTCCGAAGAGACCCTACAAGCAAGGAGAGAATGGACAAAGATCTTCCAAGTCCTGAAACAAAACAACTGTCAACCAAAAATAATCTACCCAGCAAAGATCTCATTTGTATATGAGAACGAAATCAGATACTTCAATAGCAAAGAAAAACTAGAAGAATATGTCTACACAAAACCAGCTCTGCAAAGTCTCCTTAGAAATGCACTAGTCCCGGACAAAAAGGAGGCAAATCACAAACAAAGCTGGCAAATAAGAAGGTCTCCAAACTAAAAGCTGCACAAACAAGACAACTACATAGGCAACAACACACACACAACACAATCACATGGCAGGGCAAAATTGCAAACTCTCAATTTTAACTCTCAACACAAATGGTCTAAATTCACCAATCAAAAGACAGAGATTAATAGAATGGATCATCAAACAAGACCCAACCATCTGTTGCCTACAAGAAACGCATCTAACCAGAAAGGATGCAAAGAAACTGAAAGTGAAGGGATGGAAAAAGATATTTCACGCCAATAGACGAGAAAAAAAAGCTGGGGTAGCTATCCTAATTTCAGATGAAATAGATTTCATTCTAACTAACATCAAAAGAGACAGGGAAGGCCATTTTATACTGGTGAAAGGAATGATCCATCAAGAAGCAATCACCATCATTAATGTTTATGCACCGAATCTTAATGCACCTAGTTACGTAAAGCAATTACTTACAGACTTAAAGGAAGACATAGACACCCGCACAATTCTTGTAGGCGATCTCAACACACCTCTAACAACAATGGACCGGTCCACGAAACAAAAACTCAACAAAGAAACAACAGAGCTCACACAAACAATAGAACAACTAGACTTAGTAGACATATATAGAACTTTTTATCCTAAGGCCACAGACTATACATTCTTCTCAGCGGTGCA